GCATATAACATTACACACTTACACTTGCTAAGCATTTCCACATGTAGATTAATGTTGCATATAACATTACACACTCACTCTTGCTAAGCATTTCTACATGTACATAATGTTGTGTCTAACATTACACACTTAAACTTGCTAAGCATTTCTACATGTAGTTAATGTTGTGTCTAACATTACACACACTTGCTAAGCATTTCCAAATGTAATGTTGTGTCTAACATTACACACACTTGCTAAGCATTTCCAAATGTAATGTTGTGTCTAACATTACACACTTACACTTGCAAAGCATTCCAACATGTAGATTAATGTTGCATCTAATATTACACACTCACACTTGCTAAGCAATTCCATATGTGGATTAATGTTGTGTCTAACATTACACACTTAACACTTGCTAAGCATTTCTACATGTAATGTTGTGTCTAACATTACACACTTACACTTGCTAAGCATTTCTACATGTAGATTAATGTTGCATCTAATATTACATACTTACTTTTGCTAAGCATTTCTACATGTATTTAATGTTGTGTCTAACATTACACACTTACACTTGCTAAGCATTTCTACATGTAGATAAATTTGTGTCTAACATTACACACTTACACTTGCTAAGCATTTCTACATGTAGTTAATGTTGTATCAAACATTACTCACTTAAACTTGCTAAGCAATTCCACATGTAGATTAATGTTGCATCCAAAAAAGCACAACTTGTGCCAGTTAAAGTTCAAATGCTGCCATTACATCTAAAAAACATTTACAGTGCATGAGCAAACATCTAACACACACACACTAAATTTTTTATTTGCTTAACAAATAGACAACACAAAACTTTAAAGGACCAAACCTGTCACACCAAGAAGTATATATGTGACAGTTTAAAAAGGACTAAGCTTAGATGGGGGAGGGGACTGTGTCCTATCTTTCATTTATATTCTGCTGATCTCAGCTAATTCCTGTGTTGTTGTATTAATAATTTTGGCATACTAAAAAAGAAAATACACAATCACTTAATGTACCAAATCTTTGAGTTTGCAATTTATAGTTGAGGCTAGGAACGCACATCATTGATACTAACAGTTTTACATCAAATATTGTTGTGACTTTAATTTGAATAATGGATATCAAAGCACAAGTCAAAACATGTACTAAAGCTATAATCAAAATGAAACTGTTTCCATGGTTTCCTTATGTCTTCTCTCATTTCTGCAACCCAAAACTAGCCCCCCCAATCAAATTTTAAATATGTTGTATGAATTTATACACAACATACAATGATATCCATGGATTGAAGTTCTAAGGTGAGGGGTCATGCAATGTTGTTTGTGCACACAAGGGCAAAAAAATCTTTAGTGAGGGGTCCTGTACACACTAATACATGCCATACACACAGGCAGTACCACTGATGTCATTAATGCATATAAAATCACATTTCAATACATGAACTAAAACCATGATTAAAAAGTAGACTGTTTCCAGTTTCTTTATGCCACCACCACCCACCATTCCTATACCCCAAAACTTGTTGACCTCTCATCCAGAAAAAAAAGTCAAATTTTTTAATTGTTGTAAGTATCTACACACTACCACCAATAACATCCATTGTCCTAAGAGGTATTGTGAGGGGTCCAGTAATGATGTGTACACCTACATACCTGCACACAGGTCTATGTAAGTATCAACTAATCTCATGGTTTGAACCTATACATGGATGATTCAAGCAATATTCTTGCAATACATATTAATGCGTGCCTTAAACACAGGTTATAACAGTATCAAAAAATCTAATGATTTTAAAAATGGAAAATAAAATGGTTTATTACTCAACTCTTACTCATGAGGAATGCATGCTGAAAATCTAAGTAAAATATTTGACAGACAAAAAGCCTGTTCTTCCAAACTAATTTTTCAAGTTTCTGTAAAACAGAATAAAATGTGAATGTAACAGATAGAACTATGGAATGCAATCAATCAATAATATAACCAAGCAGGCCATTACCTATTTCTGTGAAACAAGGAAGTCAATGTTTACTGTATGCCAGATAGTGGATATTAAGTTTATCAATGTATACTTGTCTACATATATTTGAAAAAGATAATATGTAACTTATTCTCTCACCTGTGATTAATTAATTATAAATCACAATGTACTAAATGACCCTATTGACATTGAACTCTAACACATCCTCTGGTCAACATTTGTGCCAAAACTTAAAACAATTTCTTCATGGAAACAGATTATACACACACTTCATCAACAAATTTAACAATTTACGGAAAAGGCATAAACTATGTAAAATATGACCTTGAGGTGATCATATTCCTCATCTCTAAGGTTATTACAATTATATGGTGAATCTGATTCAACATCAAATACCTATCACACATGGTATAATTGTAAATGAAAAAATTCTTGAAATGTCCATAAACCTTTTGGGAACGCTTTATTGTGACTTTAGCCTTTTACTTATTTTGACCTTGAAATCTCTGGAGTTTTTCTATACTAGTGGTAAACTTCTCTGCAATGTCTGATGACAATTGTTTGAGGCACACAGACAATGCTTGATCAAAAAATTTACTGCTAAAATCTGAACTGACCCCAAACCCTTAGTGGCACAGACCAATGTCCTTGTCCCTGCTGGTCTTAAATCTCATTTGATGTTCCTTACCATCCCTCCTCCTCTTGCAGACAAAAGATACATGATGAGTATCAACTGATGCAAACAAATTGAATCAGCTCTAAAAAAAACTTTAACAAAGAAATAATATTTTCAAAAATTAATAAAAAGTTGATGTCATGATATGATCATATCTTACTTCCTCTGGGAAAATAAACAGGCTTGAAATCTGGTGAATTTTATTAGAATAGATACAGTATTATCATTTTATCTGATAGTAGTACAATAGCTGATGATTAAATTTACAGGAATTTAGCAGCAAATTGTTGATAGGGCCCTTCTCAACCTATTGAATCCACTGCTCTAATGAGCTTTTTTATAAATTGCTTCCTATCTCTTCAGATACAGATATATCTCCTATATGCAATTACCACACACTACATCTCCATTAGATTCTCAAAACACTGCAACTGCCTCTAACATACAATTATCAGCATTATTGTGAGATTTCCATTTTATATTCATTTTATATTCATGGCCTTTCTAGATCATTTCTGATAGATGGCTTAGAATAACTGTGCAAAAAATGTGACTGGTAACAGAGTTAATATCATCATACACAATCATGTTTCATTTAACTGACATGAACCATTAAAATGTTTTTCTTGGAATGATGACAATATGTCACAAAAGTTATCATTCATTTTTTTTCCTAGTAATTTTCTAGTTCAGATATTTCCATAAAAAACTGTTGAGATTAAATGTTGCTGGATGCATACTACACCACAGCATTAATTAGTTCCTGGTAGGACATCAGATGTAGATAAATTTAATTACACTTAGATTTGCAAATATTTTCCAACAAAACATAATTCGAAATAAGCACCATACATTTGCATTTGATGCCAATAAATTGACTAAAAACACACAAAATTCATCAATGCATTAAAATTATATGAAAAAGTTTCAAATTTTATGTATTTTGATTCAAATGCAAACTGTACAGATCCAGTACAAAATGTTACAGTAATTATATCTGTACAAGTCCGATTTAAATGCAAACTGTACAAACCCAGATCAGCCACTACATAATGCACAGGCAGACCTAGGTCTATTCAGTCCATTTGGAGTAAACAGTATAAGAATCAATGTGTAGGGCTGTCAAAAATCATGAAAAAAAAATGGTGTACCCGTTGCAAATTTTAATGGGTACCCGTTAGCACATGAATGACATGTACAACCTTAGACCAACTAATTGTTATTTCCATTAATTTAATATTTTTTATATGGAGATAGAGGCTAACCATGTACTACTCGGTCTGATTCGTCCACACCGATGTAGCTGGAAATTGTCTGACTGCACGATGTTAATTAATAAATTTATTTAGAATGACCTTTGCACACAGATGGTAGGTATAATCCAACTTTTAAAGATCACTGTGATCAGCCGCGTTAAAAGCTTTAGAACACTCGCATTTTTTAAAGTATAAGTCCTTGTTAGAACAGACCACGTTTATTCATCTGCTTTTGACCGAACTTTTGAATTACCCACGCATGCATTTCCCAGATATACCATGTGACCACGCAGTCACATAAGTGTTATTATTTTGGAATTATAATTCTTAAAATAGTTATGGTAAAAACGTACTATCGAAAATAGAAATATGGGTATATGTATGATGGCTAACTTTCGAAATTTGCAGAGCTAGTCGACTAGAAAAACAATGAGCAAATATTACTTTGAGGCATTACAAAGATTTCAAAGTGTCTAGGTGATGATTGTTCATAATATAAATTGTGGGATTTCTTTGACATGTTTTTTCGGAAATAAAAGGTATCCATCTGGATTTCATTAAAAGGAAATATCACGAAATGTACTGATCATTTAGCACCCACATTCAAAAGCTATAGTCTACAAAGAGGTTTATTACCTGTAGAACAAATGTTTTAACCTTGGTATATAATGCTTCACACAACGCCAATGAATTTTATTAATCCAAACAGTCAGACCTATTGTTTATTTATATTAAGCAAAGATCTGGTTTCTAATTATAGCCATAGCTGTCACACCTGTTTGAAGTGGTTGTCGAGTGTGGTGATTTTTTTTTTTTTATGGGTACCCACGTTTGTGTGTGTGTGTGATTTGGATTTTTAATGTAGCTTTAAAAAAATTTCAGCCATACTGCTACAATGTCTGCAGTGTTGCAGTTTTTAGTGATGTCTAGCACTGGAGCATCATGCCACAGACATGTAGCATGATGTCCCACCCAGTCACAATATCCTGACACCAGGCCGACCAGTCCTAACACTAACCTCTTTATGCTGAGATCCAAGCAAGGCAGTTGTAAGAACCATTTTTATAAGTTTTTGGTATGACTCAGCTAGGGTTCAAACCATAACCTCTTGCATCTGAGGCAGACACTCTAACCACTAGGCTACTAGAATGGTCTTATAGACCTTGATCTGCTGGCACATCATGCGACAGCAAATCAGGGTCTATAATGTTTTCAGTTGGGCCTAGCTGTTTAAGCAAGCATAGAGGGTACACCTGGATTTGTCTTACCAATAATAGACTGGAGGATAATAGTCAAAGCTGTTTATTTTCTGCCTAATTATGCCTGCAATGTTTCCTCATTACAGAGTGGCCAAGTGGTCAAAAGCACTTGCATTTAGGGATCACTGACATCTCACCTATGTCCATGTGAGTTTAAGATATGTCCTTGTATAATTCTTGCAATAATTTTAAAACACAAATCCTGATCTGCTTGAACACAGACCCTCATCAGTCCTCATATGCAGAAACACTAATCAATCATCCCATGTGTGTTCCCTGATCTGTCTTCCTGTGCATACCTTGATAATGCAGTGACATATATAAATCATTATTTGCTATCTTATGGATAAACCCTGATCCACCCTTCCACATGGAGACTTGACCTGTCCTTGCATGTAGAGACCCTATTTCTCCTCACAGGTATAAACTTTAAAATGCTCTAACATGTCAACCCTGATCTGCCATCATACATGCAAACAATGATCTGTGATCACATTCACATATTCCGATTTGTTCATGAATGTACATTGATTTGTCCTCACATACATGTTCGGTCCTTACATATACAGACCATGATTTGACTAAGATTTTGCTGACCTGATCTCTCTTTACAAAGATCATGAGCTGCCATTGTAAGAATAGATAGGGTAATATGGTCCTATTCTGACCACATGTAGGTCATCCACACTTGCTGATAACTTCATTATTGAAATCGACTACTGTATATCCATAATTAAGATACAGGAAGCAGTCTAGAGGTCTTCTTGCAAAAAGTTTCATTATTCAAAAACCATATAATTTTAGTTCTTACTGAAAAAAAAAAATGATTTTATTGTGACTACATACACAGGGGTAAATCTGACCTCGTTGTGGTTGTGGCTTATTCGACCACTACATATGGACTGTAAAATAAAAAGATTTTGTTTTTGTCTTGACATATTTAAAGCTAATGTTTTTAGTCTTTTCAGATAGAAAAATAGCTGATAGAAAGTGATAATGCTACATAGATAATTGTGGATGTTGATATGGAGATAGTTGTGGAGAAAATTAACGTTTTATTTTAATTAGATTTATACCTTTAATTTTGTATTTATTTGTTTTTAATTAGATACTTATTCCTGTTTTTCTTTTTTTTCAAAGTATATACAAACTTATCATAATTCAACATTTTCTTTAAGCATATGTTCTTGGTTGGATTTGCTCTCTTATGAAAAATAACCTAGGGCAAATCAACCACAATTACAGAACATTGCATAATATTGTTATTTGTCATAAAACTGGTGCAACTTTTACGTTTTTAGAGAGACAAAGCATTATTTTAAAGCTACAATAGCATAATTGCTATGCCATACAATTTCTATGCTATACAATAGCATAATTGCTATGCTATTGAAAGCTATACAAAATCTTGGATGATTGATGCCTGACTTGGGTTCTGAATAAAAAAACTAAAAATTCTGAATTCCGCTTCTGAACAGAAGCAGAATACTAGGGCTATAAGTCATTTTGTCATGCAATGTCCTCCTGGAAACGTCTCTACTAATATGCATGATCACATGCACAAACAAAATTTGCATATCTGTCTTGGAAATAGCAGGAATTACATAAAGGCTGGAATTACCCTTGTGGTCCAAATATGACCATGTTACCCTAGTGATCTAGCATTACACATGTAGGCCATGATCTGGCATCAAATGAGTAGACCCTGATGTACTCACACAATATGACTCTGATACTTCTGAACACCTAGAACCTGATCTGTCATCACAGATAAACATCCTAAGCTGCCACTGCATGAGTAGACCCAGATCTGTCCTCTCATACCTTAATCCTGTGCTACTATCACAGAGTACAATTTGATCTGCCTGCACATAGAAAGATCCTGATCTGACATCACCTGGAAAGACCCTGATCTGACATCACCTGGAAAGACCCTGATCTGACATCACCTGGAAAGACCCTGAACTTCCTTGTAGAAATATAACATGAGCTGCCCTTGCATGAGCATTTCCTGGTCTGAAATCACATGGAATTTCACCAATATTTTCAAAATGAGGAATTTTCATTGAAAGCTTGAATAGTTCTAGAACATATGCAATGTCAGACATATCTGTATAATTCCCTTCCCATGGCCCTACCCTTGGATATGTCTGTTAATAATACAAGGGGAATATGGATTGTTCTTACTGAAATAGAAATATTGGAAAAATCTTGAATCAACACTGTCCACAGACATGGACAACTCAAACCATGTGAGCATAATAGAAACCAAATTTAAATCAAGATATTCTTACATAATCATTTCACAATCTAAGTTCTTCAATATGGCAGAGTATTGTAATGTGTAGATGGAAAATGTGCAAGAACTAGAGTGGTGGTAGATAAACTAATCAAATCTCTGGGTTGTGTTTGTAACAACAAAAACTGGAGCAACTCTGCCAGCTCACCAATAACCAGGCTGTTCATATGCAATCATGTAAACCTCAAGAACCTTTACAAAGCTGTGTCTTGCATGTTCCACTGTGGCATAATTCACAAATCTTGCCAAGTCTCTAGAGCAAGAAATGTTGGTCACTATGATATACATTTGACTGTTGAGAAGTATTACTCAGAAATGTAAAGAAGTAAGTCACACTGACTCAAGATAAAATAAAGTACCCATCAAGCTTTAGACTGTACATGCAACAGTGTTAGACATACTGAGCTATTTGCAAACTTTCCATTTTAACACCTGAGCACAAGAAAGGTCACTGTAACCTACTTGTCTCTAATGTGATATACACTCCAAGATGACTATGCCTAATAAGTTTCAAACTTTGTATACATCAGTGTCAAAAAAATTACATGCCAATATCAACAACAATAACAACAAAAACAACAGCAATGCAATTGGGAATGTGTCAGATTTCTGACCCTTATTTTGCATGTGCCAGATGTAGTATTCTTGACAATACTAAATTATAATAATGTATGGCTCACAGGATTTTTTTTTTTTTTCATGCATTGCAATAGGGCAAGAGAGAGTGAAGAGAGGATTAAGGGCCCGTCATTATCTCCCAACACATCGTGATGGAGTTACCTCTCTTGCAGAATACCTTCGCACACCTTGCTTTCCCACAGTCACTTCCAGTGATCCCTGTGAAATGAAGCTGGTGCCCATAAAGTGGACACAGTTCCCTGTTTATGATCCGAATAAGTATTGACACTGAAGTTTTGTGGTGAGCGAAGATGTTCTTAGCAACATGTATATTAATTATTATATATTATATTAATATACTGTACTATATTTACTTGGATATTCATAACAAGAGTCTTCCAAAGGTATTAACACTCTACGAGTTGAAAAGAATTTCCAGGCCTTGAAGATAAGACTTTCCTTTTAACTGACAAGTGTTGACACCATCCCTGATATTTTTCAGATTTTCAATTCAGCTGATATGGAATATATATGTTGGATAAAAACTTGGCACCAGTTTCCTTTTAGACAAAGTAGAAATCATTTGGTGAAAACTCCATATCATTATGATCATCAATTCAAGTGTAGTAGTATCACCAACATATTTTAATGGTTGTTATCGCAGCCATAATGGTTGTTATGGCAGCCATACTGGAAACATAACTGGCACCCTTTTCATCCAGGACTAACAGGGCATCATAAGACGTCTGCTGAAAAAAACTTTGTGTTGATATTGCTATCGATTTAGTGAGGAATAGAGCTAACAATATTTTCAAGATATGAGGTTATATTCAGAAGGAGTAGCAACAGTAAGATTTTCAAGATGGCTGCTTTGGTTATATTAAACATCAGATAAGATCTTCAAGATGATTGTCATGATGTCCACACTGGATCTCATTGGCAACATTTTCATTTAGAGCCAGCTAGAATAGAGAAAACAATATTTTCAAGAGAGCTTCGACATTGGAATTCAGTTCAGCACCATTGTCATTTAGGACCATCTCAATATCATAAGAAACCTTTCAGTGGAAACACCCTTTCATATGACCATCTGCTTTTCAAGATGGTCACTGTGGTGATTGTATTGGATATCCATACAGGTACTAATTTATGAGGACCAACTTGACAATGGGATGAATGTGTGTGTAAAGTTAAACCACAAAGCAGTTTAGGAGTAGTGATAACAAACTGGCACTAAGGGATGGAAGGACAACAAATGAAAGACCATCCCACAAATTCTTTTGGTCTAAGACCAGTAGAGCTAAAAAACAAATTCAAAAAAGAAAGTTCAATAGCACAGTGATCTGTTGATAAGAGTGTCTTTAGATGATAATATAGCAATTAATTTTAAAATGAATTTGAGTGTCAACACTTTTCACTTGCTATTTTCAAGTTGGATGAATGAATTTTCACCCCTGCTTGGTAAATGCTATGACCCAAATCATAAGATGCAAATATCGACTAGTCATGATACTTCTGTAACATGAAAAACTCCAAGACTAAATGCAAGATGTTGTCACACACACTTATCTGCAGGACAAAATGGGCATAAACTGAAAAACAAATTTCTGGAGCAATGATTCTCTCATACTAAATCAAGCTTAAGTCAGATAGGACACACACACAACTGCACACTTACACATATATAATTCATGGGAGTATAATGATTTGTCGAAATGTGCATTTTACACAATGACCATAGCAATTACCAAGCAGGGTTAAAATTTCACTCACCCAACTCGAAAATAGCAAGTGAGAATTTTTGGCACCTGAATTAATTTTACAAATGCCCAATCAGGCGATTGTTGAATCAGGCTAACTAGAATTTTTCTTTCATGATCTATTGAGAACTTTAATTCTTGAAACTCCATACTTTCTACTGAAGTCTATACTTTCTACTGGAAATCTATACTTTCTACTGGATGTTTATTTTCAATTT